TTGTAGGTCATGGATACGACCTACCCACTCGTAGGAGATTAACATGTAACAGTAAAGTTCACCAAGTTGGGCAATTTTTTGTGGATAACGTTTTCTCACCATTTGAGGTAAGCATTTGTGTAGCACTGTTAATCTTACACAGCCGGTGTTTTCAACAAATGTGTGCACTCACTAAATAATAATAGTAATCCATTTTCATCCGGTTTGGAATAATTGCGAATTTCTCTACAAATACTTGATCCCAAGAAATACCTTCTGGTTTCCACATCTGCTGAAATTTACTTGCCCCAACTCGCAAAGGAATCAGCGCATCAATTAGGTGTACACATGCGGCTTACCCACGCCAAGTGGGCTCCNGACCGGTGCAGCTGGTGGGGTGAGAAACGACGTTAACTCGCGAGCCACTTGCTGTAGGGAGAACGGATGCTGCGGACCGCACAGATTGACGAACGACTGATTCATTGAATTCCACGCGGAGCACACGGACAAATGATGTGCAGATAAATGTGCGGCCAGGCGAGACTCAAAATCCCGATTCCGACGACCGATGACCTGCATACATACATACATACATACAATATGTGATAAAACAATCGAGCATGACGTGTGACAACTGAAACACAGTCAGTCGTAATCAACAACGACAGTAATGAACATAGTGATTTTTCCAAGACCTGCAATGAAATCAAATTTCCAAGATGAAAACAGGTTTCAGCACAGCTAGTGGGATAAGTTAAATTCCAGAAAGAAAACAGACATTCTTCAACCAGTCAAGAATTTAACCGTCGATGAATTTCCCAATCAGAGGGTCTCATTCGGATTACCAATAACCGTTCCCGTAGTCAAAAGCGAAACATTGAAAGCTGCGTTAGTTCACGAATTTAGTCTCCGACTTTATCTGGCTACACGTGCCTATAGTGGCATATAAGAGCAGTCAAGTTCTTGCATAAGCTCAATGAAATACCAGTTTGTTTGGGGAAATCACAACTTGTCATTTTCCGTCCGATCAGGGGTGATCAAAAACAGTAAAACTACGTACACGCGTGCTCAGCTGTACGGAGGGGAAAGAATTCGGCTTTTTTTGCAAAGAATTTGTGCAGCACGGCTCGCTGGTACCCGTTGAACTGCATCTATTCTATAAAGATATGTTCGCATTGTGTATAGTCAAACAGTATGACGATTACCAATGCACAGTTATCTATCTCTGGAATGTAGTGTATGAGGAATTAGGTCTTGTTCAATGACCAGCAGAGTTATATGTTTCTGGGCGTGTCTTCAGGTGCAAGCAGAAGAACGATAAGCAAGATAATTCACCATGAATACACCGTCGGAGAGTAACCGTGGCGACGTTTGAATATATTGGATGGATTTTTCCGTCTCCTAGTAACAAAATAGTCATAAACATCTGTAGATATCATCCTAATGTGAACAAAGCAGTCTGATCACTTCGTTGTTCTACTGGATAACACTTGGTTGCGTATTTGCTTAGGAAGACCCAGCAGTGCTGTCGAGGTCATTTTGTGCCATGTCCCCCAAAACGACTTCCGCATGCCTGCACCTAGAACAATCACCGATTGCTGCGAAACTACTGCACCAGGCTGGTGCGCAATGATAAAATAAACCATTAAGGATCGCTAGCACAAAGATTTATTTCAAACCCCAAGCTTTGCATAAACATGTCAACTCGGCTCGAAAAGTTAAACATGGAATACCAGTGCTCAGTTCTTCTGGAAGAGCCAAGGTCAAACCAATGGAAATCGCTGAAATGCTGAAGAACCAGTATGACCAAGGTTTTTCTGTGTCAACTGTATGCATCATATCCCACATCCTTTACTAACCACCTTATCATTTGCCACCGAAAAGATTAAAGCAAAGCAATTGGCTTTGAGAAAGAATTCATCACCAGATGTAGACAATATTCACCCCCAAATCCTGCTTGACGAATCAAATGTCTGAGCCAATAGCTCTCCGATTCATAATGCAACCCCACCGTTGTGGAAGCAGGGAATGATTTTACCCATTTACAGAGGCGGGTGCGTAGCAATCCGGCTAACTACCGCCCTGTAACCTTCCTTTCAGTGTTGTTCAAAGTTATGGAGTCTATGGTAGCAGATTCCCTGATGGATCACCTAGAGAAGCACACCATTGTCACCAAATCAATCCGGATTCCGACAGAAGCGACCCTGCGCCACCAATTTGCTCATCGCACGAGATAAATGGACAAACTTAGTTGGTGACGGTGAAGCGGTAGACGTTATTTATCTGAATTTCTCGAAAGCGTCCGGTCGGGTGAACCACAAGATTCTACTGCGGAAATCCTACAATTACGGAATTCGGGGCCTCAAGCTTGATTTTTTATTACACACCAGTGTGTGATGAACAACATACGGGGCAAACCCCATAGTCACGAGGACCCGTTGTTCAGTGGTGGAAACCGGCAATCTAAGCCCTGGGACTTGGAGTTGCGAGCCCCGATAGGTCATGCTTGATTGGATCGAAGCATTTCTCCAACAACGGACCCTATCGGTTAGCGTTTCTGATTTGTTTTCCAATCCTATGAACGTTACCCGCGGGGTTTCACAAGGATCTGCAGTGGGCCCACGACTTTTTCTAACATTCATAAATGACCTAGCAAAGGCTCTGGGGCCAAAATTAATACTGTTTGAAGATGACGCCAAAATTTTGGATACAGTGACGCAACCTGTGGGCTTGCTGACACTCCGGGAAACGCTGAAAGCAACTCTTCTCTGGTCTCTTTTGAACGATATTGTATTCAATGAGCCAAAGTGTAAAATTCTATCTCTAGGACACAAGGGACGATTTCCTTATTTCCTAGGAAATGAACAATTGCCACATGTCTTAAGTGAGAAGGACCTGGACATCATCATTCAAGAACACTTAAGCTAATCACTCTACTGCACCAGGGTGTCGAACGCAAGTGTAAAGAATGTTGGTTTGCTTAGGCGTGTTTTCAGCCGGCTTGAGTCAGGATTTTTCCACCGAACCAGCATACATTTGCACACTCAGAGAGTAAGCCATTCAGGTATGGAATCCATGGCTACAACGTGACTGCAAAATGCTGGAGCGTCCACAAAAGATGACCACCAAAATGGTGAAGAGGTTGAATAGCTATTCATACGCAGAGAAATTGAAGTCGTTGGAGGTTATATTACAATCACCAACGGCGCATCAGAGGAGACATTATGGTATACCGAATAATGCAAAACCCAAACCATCCGTGTCGCTCGCAGCTGAAATTATCACTCAATATTCAGCTTAGAGGACATCCGTTCAAACTAGTGGTCTCAAAATGCTGATTAGAATGCCGGCGTCAGCCATTCGCAGTCAGTATGTTCGATCTGGAACTCTCTCTCGCCTCACGTCGTCTATGCGCCAGGTATTGAATTTTTCAAACTGAGACTGATGAAGCATTAGCACACCTTGCATTCCAAGATAAGTGAAGGTGCGTGCAGCGGTGAAAGAATCCCGTATCATGCGAAATTTTACACACGGAATTGTATGTATCAGAGCACGAATCTATGGGAAGAGAAAAGCATGAGCTTGTAAGTTATTCCCATAATGTAACTTTGAAACTTTCATGTATGTACCAGTCATGAAATCCGTTTATTCTCACTTAGGAGCCAGTCGCTTAAAAGTTAAATGTAAAAAGTAATGAAATAGTTACACAGATTGTTAATACGACTCACATCTGAAAATTTTCGTGTGTAACGCCAGGTCACATCTTGCACATCTACGACACGTCGAATCGCATCCGCACTGAGACCTCCATAGATACGGAACGGAGGGACAGTATAGGCGAATACATAAGTCAACTTTTTGCCCCAACCTTCCTCGTACAAAAGGGGCTGATCGATTTCACCACCCGGGTCACAGTGTACCCAGCGGAATTGGCCCTTATTTTGTTCGTCTTCCAACCAACTGTGCACGAAGGGAGAGAACAGAAAACGATAGGATGACAGTTTTGTACAGCCCCGATCGTAAATGTATGAACTGTAC